TTATTCAATAAATCAATTGTAAATTTAATAATTGATACTTTCGATGGGTTTCATCAGTTTATATACGAAATCTTTTAGTGCAATGCATAGCAATGAGAACATTGCATTATTACGATTAATTAAACTAGGTTAATTATTCACAAATTAGTTTAATAAAATTATCTCACTTATCAGGCATTCATAAGCACAGAATGTGACAGTAAGTGCATGTATTGATTAAAAACAATCAACGTATAGCATTTAATACTCAAAGTTTAGTAAAAATATATGAAGGTGCTAGTTAATTGTTAGTATGCGAAGCACCTGTACAAGTTTTGCTTAGTACTTACAAGTTAGATAAAAATACAGTAGTCTGTATTGGCGTATTGATTGAACTAATAAATCGTTAATTTATTCTGATCTAGTTTACTTATACTTTTATTTCTTAAGCACATTGTCGATTGTTTGATTGATTAATAATCTAACCTGGATTAATAATTAATTAAATGCTATGCATAAGTTAGGACTAACGAAATCTTTTACAAAATTTCTTGCAATTTTGTATATAAACTGATGAAATCCATTGAAAGTATCACTTATTAAATTTACAATATATTTGTTGCAATTTGCCAAAAGTCTATCCATTAGATGCTATGTATTTATTTCAAATTTTGTACATAATTTGGTCATTTCTTGTCATTGACAGACTATCTCAATGGAAAATACATCTATAAACCGTACTAAACATGTTTATACCAATTAGAATGAGCTAGGCTATTTGCTACAAAAATTACCTTTCCTTTTAAGTATAGTTTTTCATATTTGTTTAATCAATAATCAGTTAATTTATAAAACCTATTTTTATAATTTGTTTTTAAATATTTTCATGTGAGGTAATTACAGTTAACCTGCACTCTTATTGTTACTTAAATCAATATGGTATAAATTGATATAATAATATGCATTTTCTCAAATTTCAAGAATAATTAGTGAAACTATTTTGTCAGTTTTTATCATTAACTAAATAGAGGATTTTTTGTCACTAACTTTTGTTATTTAGATATCTTACAACTTTTGATTAGTCTGTATATTAAATAACTAATCCATTACTTTATCAATGTACCAAGTATGAACGTTATTTCTTTACTTGCTCTACTTATTATGAAATAATGTACAAATATACTACTGTACCACCTGTGTCATAATGTATCAGTTAATGTGGGGCAATGGGGTTGAGATATTAACAATGTTAGTTAATGTAAAATATGGAGGGAATTAGGCACCTGACTCCTATTGTACATTTTGGCACACACTGTATATCTTAATACAGTATATCTGATTAACCTTTGTGATATTAATGAGAAAATAACATTTATATAATAGTGCTATATAAATATAATGAAATTTCTTATCGTTTACTGTTATAAATTATAACTTATAATTATTAACATTCAATAATAAGCATGTTATTCAATACTAAACTTATTATTTTAGTTTTAAGTTATTGTTTTTCTCAAAGTAATGGCTTTCAAACCGAAGCTTTTAAATCCAATTATTTTAATGATTATAAAGACAAATATGTTTCAAATCAAAAGTTTGATTCAATAGAAGACGTGATAAAAGATGGCAGAAATCAGATGAAAGACTTTATGGCAAAGCAGTCAATTCCCGGAGCGGTTCTCGCCTTTAGTATTAACGGCACAAATGTGTGGACCGAAGGGTTTGGTTATACGGATGTCGAGAACGATGTCATCACTCATAAGGACTCGATCTGGCGTTTGGCCAGTATTTCAAAGTCATTGACTTCGGCACTGATTGGACNGGTTATACGGATGTCGAGAACGATGTCATCACTCATAAGGACTCGATCTGGCGTTTGGCCAGTATTTCAAAGTCATTGACTTCGGCACTGATTGGACGGCTTATGGACAAGAAGTTGATTGATCTCAACCACGATATTCACACATATTTGTCACCGGATTTCTATCCCTATAAGACATTCAACGGATCGGCAGTTAATATAACCGTACGGCAAGTGATGTCACATTTAGCCGGACTTCATATGAGTGAAGTACCCGATTATTATGACGTCTTTCGGGCAACAAATGTGAGCCAAACTATTGGTAAATACAAAAACGAGATGTTGTTATCAAAACCCAACACAACATTTGATTATTCAAACTATGGCTACCAAATGGTCGGCGCTATCATTGAAACACTGCTTAACAGCACTTATGATAAAGAAATTGAGAAAATGTTTCGACAATTGAATATGAATTCAACGTTTGCTGAGAAAAGGGAAGCAATTTATAAACACAGACCGAAGTATTATTCCGATTCAAATGTATTGCAAATAACAGATATTGTCGACGAGTTGTGCTCATACGAGGGCTGGTGGCCGGCGATGGGTATGATATCGACGGCCAGTGATTTAATAAGGTTTGGAAACGCCATGATATCAGCTTATAAGGGCAAAACGTCAGGTACTGTATATAAATATAATAATAAATACTATAACTATTTTATTACTAGAAATGTTGATAAAAATTATGTTTTTTAATTTTTTAATAGATTTCTTAAGCGAGAAAACAGTGAAAGAGTTGTGGATTCCGGAGACTATGGGCAAAATAAAGCCCGAATGGTTTAACCCAAGAGATGAATATGGTATGAGTTATAAAATTACATTAATTGTAAAAACTAATAATATTTTCTTATAAATTAGGCAAAGGATGGTTTATAAAACACATTCCCGATACCGATCCCTACCCTTATCGGACACTAATGTGGCATTCGGGAGGAATATTGGGCTCAACAACAATGCTTACACTGTTTCCCGACCAGAATATAGTTGGCGTCGCCTTCACTAATAAGGGCTATGTATTAGATTTGGATCAAATCATCCTAAATGTGGCCAAAAATTTTAAACAATTTTTATAAACTAATTTGGATGAGTAAATAAATTCTAAACACCATAATTAATTTGCTTTGATTTTAGTCATATAAGGTACACATTGCGTAAAAAACAACTTTTAGGGAGGGTGCGCTTGTAGGGAGGGTGCGCACCAATTGCCCTGGGTCACCCAATAATCATTGAGCACGTGCTCCAATGGCATACGCATCTGTGGGTCAGGGTTTGTCATTTTGTACAACAGTGCCAACAGTTGGCTGTGTCGGGAGAGACCCCTCCCGTTCTCCAGAGCCTGTTTGATGAACTCGTGGGCGTCGATGCCGCGGCCGGCGGGCATATGCTTCAAATGTGGGCGCATATCATAAGCGTTGCCGACCACTGATA